AAAAAAATTTAGCTGCAATTGTATCACATTTCAAATTGCGTATATCATTGCAATTCTTATTGGCATGTTCGTATCACGATCCATGCACATTATCATCGTTCTTTCTTCGATACTTCGTCATGATGTCAGCGACATTCGAGCTTTCCGCTGGGCAGGTTTGATTGACGAATAATTGGACGCGATACCGCATAATCATCCGGCCGTGACGATGTGGTCGAGAGCTGCAAAAGAGAGAGAGAAAGAGAGGGGGGCAAATACTGAAGTGAGTAACGAATACATATGAATGAGGGTTATAGCCAACTTTGCGTCATGTTATTGGGATGTCACAACGCAAAATCATTCATCTGGAATAGTTAATTGTCAAGGCGTGATTAATCATTAAAAATGTTTGAATGTAAATGACAGAAATCATTTTTTTTTTGAGTACTTTGAAAAGTATGTAAAAAAAATTGCAAATGTGTATTCAATTTTTTGAAGTGAACCAATTTATAATAATTGAAAAAGTCAACTTCAATTACATTCTGTTTACTTTGGTTTCTGAATATTTTTTTTAACAATGACAAGGATGTATTATTCTGGTAGAAGAAAATCGAAAGCAGTAAATAATGTCATTAATTCAATTATAAGAATCAATAGTGAGTGCACAGAGACAATTTTATAGTCATTTTTACTAGTCAATTCACCGTAAAATGTAGTAGCAAAAAAAAACAGTAAAAATTCTTACTCACAATTGAATTTAATAATACATCTAATTTTTTTTTATTAAGACTGAAGTAAATATTGAGTAAAATTCAATTTAAACTAATTCGTTGAAAAAAAATTTTTAATGATAAAAAGACGATCAAGTTTACTCGTTAAGATCGAAATAGGTATTCTTGTGGAAGAGATTCTAGGATGGGAAAAGAATTGACGATGAAAAATATTTTTCAAACGGATGTGTCATGTGGAGCTGTTGAAAGAAATAGTCCTATTAATCCAAGGAGTAAAGCCCTTATTAGAGGATTAAATAGAAACTATGATTGAAGAGCAAGTCAATGAAGGCTTCAAGGATAGAAAGTGCTCTCGATCTCGTTTGGAGTCGACTTGACAAGCCGTGACGGACGCTCCTCTTTCATTAGTTCGCCTTGCAGGCGTGACAACCAGACTGACGTTTGATGAGTACCTCACTGTCACTTCAATACATTCATCAGGTATATGTGCATCATCACACACACATAACACATATATATCTATACTTTTGCGTGCATTCAACAACGTGTCGCGACTAAATTCATGGCTATGCAATTATCCTCTCTGCACTCTAGTTTGCAGATTAACATAACTTCTATTGTTCGTTGAAAGTTGTAATAATAAGCATTATAAACTACTTTAGTCATATGAAAATGAACAGATTGGCTTTCTAATTGAATCGTCACGAAATTATTTAACGAGTTTTCGGCATAGAAAGACTTATTAAGGAAATTTAATGAGCAAAGTCATTCAAGTGTATTGATATAAGTGAGGATTCACTGTTAAATATATATATTTAATTAACATTTACATATACTGGAAAGACTTTTGTGAATCAGTGCAATGATAAAAAAAATCCTTAAATAAAAATAATTGCTTCAAGTTCATTAAATTATTTTTCAAATTAATTTTTATCTGAACATTTTTTTGGTATAATCAAAAAAATATTTTATAGTGATCTCAGTACTTAAGTAATATTTTCTTCATTTGCAAATAATAAATCGAATAATCACTAGGCATATTGCAGTATCAAGAAAGAAAGGAAACGAGAAATTTAATTAAAAAAATAATTCTATAATGTACGGCTTCATAGATATTTTAAATCTAGTGTTGCAGTGTAGTTAAATGATAAATCGTTCGACAGTCACAATAGTAAGGGAAGGATTTTTAATTTCCGCTGTTGTCAATGTTCTTCAAACGGTTTTCAAGTGGCCAAATGTAACGACAGTAGGTCTTCTATACAAGTGTTCACTGCAATAAATAAAAGTATGATGCCCCCTGTTGAGTACTTTAGATTATTGTAACAGACTAAGGAAAAATTTAGTCCACGAGGGGTCGTCAAACGTTTCAGACACGACGAAATTGTTGTTTCTTTTGTGGACACATTCACTTGAATACCGTTCAAGTGCTCTTTCGTGACGCCCTTTTAGCCCCTTGGATATGAGGGCGCTATGTAGCGCAGGGTGGGTCCTGTCCCACGGTCTCGCGAAAACCTCATTAAATATTGCAAAAAAAAAAAAAATACGAAATAGCATCACAATGATTTTTAAAAACTACAATAAACCTTTATGCAAGTTTGAATTATAAATCTATTAATAATTATTATTCGTATTTGTTATAACTTCACTCAAATTAACTCATTCAGAAACACTTTGAATTTTTAAAATGAAAGTTCTAATTATTTTTTGATAGATGAAGGTAAGATAATTCGTTGATTACATTATTTTTGGAACCACAATTTAGACTTTTGTTTTGAAAATAAACTAGCTCCCGATGCTAATTATATACTCACGCAGCAATTTCCCGAGGCGTCGACGTTTTCCCGGTTAATTCTCATCCCAATTCACGTGGTAAAACCACTAATGCTACTTCCATTATAACGTCACTTCCGATTTAAAATTCGTGTGCTACAGGGACCAAAGTAGATTGGAAGGAGGCAAATGCAATAGAACCGCAGTCCACATGGCGCTATTTTCAACCCTCTGTTATATCTGTACCCAAACCTACCAGAGTCGAATTTCATGTTCCAACTTTGAATTCTTTTATTGCTACATCCTCCCCTTTATCCATATTCATTCCGTTTATTTTCCTATACGAAGTTAAAATTTCGTTGTCACAACAGATCGGAGATCAAATCTTGAAAGAGTCTTGATTATTGCTGTGCATGCAAAAAAATTTACTGGTACGACAGCAATATCTATTTTTCCACAGACATAACTTTGACGAAACAATCATACTCCAGGGATTTTTTATCGATAAACTCAATTACAAAACAAAGCAATCTTTTTCTATAAAAAAAATTAAATTTAATCAATCAACTTACCTAAACAGGAGGAGGAGAAGGATATTTTTGTAGAAGAAAAAAACAAATCGTCGTTGGTATTTGTGGTTGATTTTTGTTCACAAGAGCTTCAGGAAATACGACAAAAAGAAATATATTAAAAATTTTCTTCAATACTTTTTTGTTGTGATATTAAATTGAAAAATGAAATAGAAGCCCTACTACATTTTTTGTGTGGACGACCATATAAAAGATCCCGCCTCAATTTTGTGGCAATGGAATTACAGGACCAGGGAATTCAGTGAGACCACAAAAAAGCCGCGAATGGTCTCAATGGGAAGTGTGAAAAGCGTCGAAAAAGCCGCGAAACCCAGGCGTCGCTATGCTCCCTTTCCCTCACGTATATTTTTTTGGCGAACGCACACTACACTACCAAAGCACATAGTGAAGGGGATGCACACTCACAACGTCTGGAAAAGTACGGGTTTGCTTCAACACTTCTCCACTCGTTCGCGTCCCTTCTCTCCATTATCCTCACGTGAATGAGCTCTATTCGATACGAGAGATTCGATTCGACGGTCCCCTATAGAGAGCTGACACTTTGCTTCTCCTGTCTGTCGCCATTTAATTCTGATCTGACGTATTTCTCGCCTCTCATTGACTTTAAAATTGTCCTAGAAATCAAGAGATTATTTTCAATTATTTTTTGTGATATTTCCTTTTGAAATAATTATCATTAACTCATTTATTAACAATTAAATAATTGTTTAACAATATAATTTGTTAAGAAATACTTGAAAATAATTTATTGTCTTCAAATTTAGTCAAATTTATTATAACAGGACAATTAAAAGCTACAAAAAGCATCTAGTTAGATCTAGTCTCAGTTATATATAGTATAACTCCTTTAATAGCGATGCTTGTTGAAGAAAAAGACCTCTGTTCAGCAATGTTCCCCCACCATCTTGATGTCTATGGCTGATGGTCAATCGTAGACACAGAAAAAAGGGTGTAATTGTTACTCCAATAAATGGTAGCCTGTCGCTTCGAGTACAAACATGGCCATCAGAAATTTTTTAATTAAGAAACATTACAAGTCTTTTTTATAAAAAATGTATTATTATTATTTTTTTTTAAGATTTAAATTAACATTAATTGTTAATAAATCACTACAAGTGCTAGTATTTAATAAATATATAATGATTGACTGATTAAGTGATCATTGTTAGAATTAAATGAAATTGTTTTAAATATTGGGAGAAATTTATTTTAATGAAAATAATGAGTTTTTTAAAACATTTGTTAATAATACTTTTACTCGAGACAATTATTACATTTCTTGAATTAATACATTTAAATGATTTGATGCAGAAAGTGAGTTAAAGTAAGAAATAATTAGAAAGTACAGTACAAAGAGGGTATTTTTCTTTTCATTTTATTTTATACTTACAATAAGTGGACGAACGAGGTATTGAATGGAAGAAACAGGACAAAATACCTTCAATGAAGTCCCTCAGTTCCATTTGCACACCCAAGCCCGTTATTTTACGCGCGAATACGATGTAAGCGAATAAAAATCGTTTCCCTGGCAATCTTATTCCCTTCCCTTACATTTTCCCTATGAAAGATCTTTTCAGCTACACCAAATTATGCCTGCATTTCATCATAATTTCTTGTGAAGACTCCCTTGCTTTCTTCTTTTTCATCTTCATCTCATCTATCTTTATTTTGGTTTCTTCATTATCATAGATAAAAAATTATGCGAATGATTTATTTATCAAGACATTGTTCAGAATAATAACTGCAGAGAAACTCTTTTAAACTTTGTCATAAATATTTTTTTTTTTTTATAATTACTTTAAAAATTTCTTTTGTCGTACAATTATATAATATTATAATGTGATCTATCAGAACATTCTGATAGATAGACTAAGAAACGAACAATCATTCAAGTATTAATGTTTGTTAAGAACTCAGCTGAGAATAACACTTGATTTTATCTAATATTTTATTATTTAAAACATGATAAGTTGTTCTTATTATTATTATAGAAATATCGAATGTTATCTAAATGATTTAAAAAACCGGAATAGTTTATAGATAAAATGTATTACTTTAAGCAAATAATAAATTTAATTTCTGGTAATTTTCATGTAAATATAAATATATTTTAATTATCATCTTCACGTTTAGTTTATTTGTCCGGCATTTTCGATGTCGACCAAGCGCTTGTCCGTGGAGTTGTTTCTGGGTATCGAGGAGTTGTCCATCGATGTGTTGTTGAATCTTCCTGTGTAGTCGACCATGGATGTGTCGCTGTTGGTGACGGATGTCGAGGAGTAGTTGGTGGTGAAGTGACTGGTTTAACAGTGGTAGTTGGTTGGTGTTTATTTTCACAATTTTCCAGTAGCTGGAAAGTACAATATTATTATGAAATTAGTAAAAAATAAACTTATTTGAAATGCACTCAAAAATTTTTTATCTAACAGTAAATCTTTTTTCATTTTGTTGATAAGACTGATGACTCACTTTTTCTAAACGTTCTGAAAGATTTAATGTGTCTTCAGCGATCGCAAGTAGCTTTTCTATTACCCCTCTGTCATCTAATGGTTTTGCATTTATCTATGGAATAACAAAAATTGCAATTATTCATTTAATAAAAACTTCCAATTAATTTTTAGATAAGCTTAGTTACCTGTAGGGATCCACAAATCGCAAACATCACCACAAAAACTCGGAAATGCATCTCCAAATGCAACTGTTGCTTTGAATAAGAAGAAAATTCTTGAAAACTAATATTTAAACACTTATTGGTCGTCTATTTATTGCTGCGGACTCCTTTAATTGATATCGCACTGCAAATTTTTGAAGTAGAATATACAGAAGAAGGGATGGGTTTTTCCTGAGTCCACCTGAGTGGGAGTGACAAATGGCAGGGAAGTGTAGTTGGAGTGTGAGCTTCCTGGAAAGAATTCCCAAGTTTCTGTTACATCAAATGTTCAGCACAAAAAATTGAAATTCACAGTAAAATATTGAGCTTATCATTTCTCTAATGACTAAATAAAAAAAAACATCAAGAGACAAAAGCAATCCGTTGCAAAAATACAACTGCTATGCTTGAAAAAGATAAGTAAAACAATATCTCTGAGTCATGAAACAAAAGCCTAAGAACATTAATGTCAGCATGATATAGATGAATAATAGTGTAGAATAGTCACGATGTTACAGCTTATTTTCTTTGATTATTGTTTATTTCAACAATAAACGACTTCAATTTTAGTGAACTTTTTTTTTATCTTAACAATGTAACTGTTGAAAATATTTAGAATTTTTTAGGTCTAAATAGAAACGTTAACAAAAAATAACTGTCTTCTTAGAGAGACTTAATTAGAGTAATTAAAAATTAGGACGAATCCCAATTACAAAATTTAATTTGAAGAAAATAATACTTCTTTTATTGAAACATATTCTGAAGAATGAATGTAAAAAAAAATTTAATTTTTTTATTATAGAATATAAAAAATCATTAGGTACAAAGAGCTTTTAGCTTATTAAATAAATTCATTTGTTGAGAGGAAGTATTTTCAGTAAAAAAAATATTTTGTAAAATGTTGTGAAAAAATAATAGATTTCATGCTGCACTTGACACATCTGTAAAAATGTGAAAACAAATAAATGAAAAATAGAAGAAAGACTTTTCCTCTCCTTCCAAACAATCAAAAGTTGAAGTAAAACCTTTAAGAGTCGGAACCAGATGTCTCTGACATTCTCTTGTACAAATCCTTTAGCTTTTATGAATTTTACTTTTCTGTTCAAAGAGGTATGGAATATAGATCAGATTAAAACCTATGAAAAGCATAAATTTACAAATAAATTACATACATATACGTGTGTAAATAGTGCGCTCTACAATCTTCATTAAATCCGTGTGAATTTAGAATTGTTTACATTAGCTGGTAAATTGAAATTGCGCGCACAATTATCGAAAGTTTGATTACCAAATCAATTGTTAGGTGCACCAGACATCAGGTTTGAAAGGGTTGAAGAAGGAAAAATTAAACTGCGTTCGTTATTGGTTTGTATACTCGTCAGCAATGAATAAATCTGTATTCATTATTAGTTCATTATATATTTCAGTAGTATTACATTTGGTGTAAATAAATTACACCTTTTTTTTTAATATTAAATGTATTTTCCAATTTATACAATTATGCAATAAAAAAAAAAATGAACCATCCAATGTTTAATATGCCTTTCTAATTTTTAAATAAATCGATTAATGATCAAAAAGAAACCACTATCGACTTTCCTACAAGACTTATCATCCATTGGAAAGCTTGAAATGATTTTCCAATAGATTATCTAGATCTTTCCTGTTTTGTCGTCAGCTGGCATCAACGAGTGGCTCCTCTTAATACCAGAAAAGGTAGGTTTAAGAACAAGAGCTAAAAGGTGGAGGGATCCTTCACATTCCTCAGAGAGTGGGAGAACTCAGAGTTTCTACTACAACCAAATTGATCTCGCACAAATATTATATTGTCTGTCTGAAAATATTCCAAAATTTAACTATATTTTGCAAATTGTCGTGCAGATATTATTACTATTATTATTGTTTATCAATATTTGTTGGATGTTCATAACTGTCAAGAGTATCATCTATCAAAGAATGTCATTTATTCAATATGATATATTTCCACTGGTTTTTTTTTGTCTGCGTGTCTTGAGGTGAATTGCGAGGTCGATATACCTGGACCAACTGGTCGCAGACCTGTATATATAAAGAACAACGAGTTCGCATTCGTGTAGACTCGAAATCAAGTGAAGACAATCTGGCAACAGTGGTGGATCCATTCAGAAATTTTTCTTCAATTGTATATAACACTAAGTGTAGTGGTTTTGACTTCAAAATTATTGCATAAACTTGCTGGATATTGGAAATATTTTTTTACAATTTTATGAATAGAAATGGATACCTTTTAAGAATTCAATGGAGATTGAATATCAGTGGGAAAGATTTTAAAAGTAAACCCACACTTGTTTTGAGTGGGAAAAAATGTAAAAAGGCGGGATTTTATCCTCGTGGTGTTGAGATAAATACTTTCAAGCAATATAAATAATCAAGTTGTTATAAATAATATTGATTAGTTGATGATTATTAAAATAGTGAGAAGAAAAAGATTTAACCAAGTTCAAAGTGTTGATGAATGTATTGGTACAGTGTAAAGAACCTTGAAAAATAATATGATCATGATGCTGTGGAATAAAGAGTTTTATTAGAAGTGTATTGTAGGAAAGGAAAAACGTGGTATGAATGCCATTAGAAACACAAATTTGACATTGATTTATTTTAAGCAGCAAATATTTAATTATAGATGCATAAAAGGCTTATTAGAGATCAAAATAAGGTCATTCTTTATTTTTTACTTAGAACATAAAATTTTAATAATCAAAATTGAAAAGATTCTTAATTTTACTCTAATTCTATTTCTAATTGGCATAAATAATTGGTCGCAAATATTCAATTAATATTAATTTATCATTTGGAAAAATATTTCTTAAATTAGTTGATGAAGATAAAAAAATGCTGGTATAAACAATCTTTCATTAGAGATATTTAATAAAGTATTGTCATCTAAGTAAAGTCTAGTTTTTGCTTGATGATAAAATAAGCATCCTTTTTTATCGAGATAATTATTTTTCTCTCTCGGTTAATTTTCAATAGAATAAAATACTGCAAAAATGAATAATTAAATTTCAATGAAGCATTTAATTTGATCTTCAGACCTTGGATAATTCGCGAACAATAAAAACCACAAGTGATAAAAAATGGATGAAACCACATGGTACAATTCCAGGGTCCAACTCGTTTTATTTCTCACGTCTGATCAAGTGCATGGCCAAAAAAAACATTGACGTTGCAATTAGCGACAATTGTATTTTAATAAGTTTATTTTCAATATTTTCTCATGCTTTTAATCCAATAATATTTAAAACCTATTTGTTTTAAATAAGTACTTTGACAAACTATTGTTTGTAAAATCCACTAGATGAATCGATAAATAAAGAGATTTAATCAGACTTTAATATCGCAGAAACGAACAAAAATGGGTACGAGAACTGTGGGACTTGGAGTGAACTCAGGAAGTACTGGAGTGCAAGGTGAAGCTGGTCTTGCAGGTGTTCAACGACTTCTTGAAGATCTAGCTCGACTCTCAGAGGACAAGGAGTCCGCAGACATTGTTTTCCTCTTGGGAAGAGATGAAACTCCAGTCTATGGTCATCGAATTATTCTACAAACAAGGTAACATTTGATAAATATTTTTTTCTTTCTTGCTTTTCATTCTTAGAATCTTTTATTAATCCTTATCTTTTTACTCGTGGGACTGTGGGGAACGAAATTTTTTTATACGGGGTGTGAAACTTCGATAGATTATGAAAGTCTTAAAATATAAACAGCCTGTTATATTCATATTATCTAGTTTTGAAAGGACTGATGAACTAGTTCAAATAAATAGTTACGCCCCGACCAGCAATTTAGGTCTGGCCCTATATTGTAAAGTCCTTGACATGGTCAATTTAATTGAGACCCCAAGCCTGATATGGCTCTCATAAGAGAGTAAATTCAGGCCCGGACATAGGATCAGGGTCATTTAGTAATTATTCATGTAATCGATAGTTTTATGGTCGTAATAGGGTAGCTGGAGGATAGCAAAGAGATAGTAATAACACTTATGAGGGAATAAACTCAGGCCCGGAAAAGAAAATAAGATCATATCAGGGCCATTGAATAATTATTTATTTAATGAGCAGTTCTATGGTAATAATGAAGCAATAATGAAGGGTAGTAACATAACGGTATGATGTCCAAAGACTTGATCAGGCCCTCAAATAGCCATATTTCATGAATATAGTGACAATGTAGTGAAATAGAGCTTTTGGAGCTTTAATTCTATTTAACGGAAGTAATATCAGCAGGATCAGTTTATTATCTTTTACCTGAATATTATTGAAGAATTGATTACGTAAATCATGAAAGGCTTGACACACATTTGAAGAGTTGAATTTAAAAATTTTTCTGTAGAAATAAATGTCAAAGCCATTATTACAAACACTTCGCTTACAAAGAATGGAGGAAAATTACTCTGCAACAGGGTAAAATTTACATTCTCTGTGCATTGAACAAAAATTATTTTAAATTTAAAAAAACTTAGGTAGAATTTTTAGAACAATCATCGATTAAAAATATTAATAGTAATTATTTTCATAAAAAAGTTCTCTAATGAATTTACTAAAAATACTATCAACAATAAAATATTATTATCGGCATTGTTATTATTATTATCATTTCTAAAGTAAAATATCTATTCTCCCAAGAGAAAAAAAAAATATTTATATCTCAGTTTTCTTTGATTCAATTGTTTTTTTAGGATGCTTTTTTCCATAAAATTTTTTTCCGACCTATACTCAATCAAAACAAGAATCTTTGTTATGATGTCTCTTTATTTTGTAGTCAGCACTATAGTGAATTCCGTTATTGTGCTTTGAACGCGGATGGCTTTTACATTTAGATGTCATACACACTCTAACGTCAATTCCCAACAGCTTCTTCTTGTTCTCTCGTCGTATCGAGTAGTTGACAAAACAGACAAAAGGAAAACTTGGCATGAGAATCTGTCTCTATGTCACTACGTGTAATATATAGACATGGAATCGGAGTAATATTGGGTTGAAGAGAAAATTCGTGCGATTGACTTCGCAATTAACGAAGGATTCCTCTCTGTGTCATCCCCAAATTCATGTCGATTCTGTATTACAGCTTGAAATGGGGTGAGAGCTAAATTGCACGACTAATTATAATCCCTTGAATTAATTCTCATTCACAATCAACTCGAGTTTAATATTCATCTTAGAATAAAGTTTATCGAAGGGAATATAAAGACTTATTACCAACGTAATACTAAAGGGTTGGAATTTTTATGAAGAATTCACTGTTACTTACAATGATCGCCGTTATTATAATTGACTTTATTAACTTTCTGTCATTATTTTAAAAGTGCTTGCGAAAGGGAAAAATTCTTTAATTTATTTTACTTGTAAAATTATTTTAAAAAGTAAGCATTTTTTTTTACATAAAGTAATAACTAGAGTTGATGATCCTTTTCAATAATAATAATATCAATTAAATTCTCATGAATGAATATAGGTTAACATCCATATAGTCTAGATGTGCTTAAAATAAAACTTTACAAAATATTGAAACTTTCATGTATGTTCAGTACTTGACTCAAGTATACTTGTGGTGACACAAAATTTATTATACCCTTAATTACCATATTTTCTATCTAGAAATATTATTTTTACTTTTCATAATATCCTTTTTGATTATATTTCTTTACAAGACTTGTATTTTATAAATACATACTTGATAAAAAAACTAAAACTCTTTTATATTGATGAATTTTTAAAAATATTTTTCATTTTATCTTTAATCATTTTTTAGGCTATTTTAACAATGAAATTAAAAAAAAAGCCTTGAAATGTGTCAAAATATGGTTAGACTATTTTTAATATTTACCTCCAATTTTTTAAGTAGTATAAACTGAGTTTGGTCGTACAGGTCACGTTTACAATTTTTTGTTGCTCAAATATTTTATTTTTAATTTTTATTCAAATAAAAATTGATATAAAAGTCGTTGAGAAATATTTATTCATTATGTTTAGAATACATTTTTATTTTAGTGAGTGTTAAAAATAAATAATATTAAATAAATTATTATTCATACTCCCCTTGTTCCTGCAGAAAATAAACTTGATTATTTATATAATTATTTTCTCCATCAAATTAACCAATTAAGTCAATCGATCCGTCTCAATCAAAACGATTAACTGAAACGGAAACTAATTCAGTAATGGAAGAGGTGTCGAGACGGCCAAAAGTAGCGATCAATCCATCCGGGAATTATTGCCCCGACAATTGGGACTGCCAGAGAAGAAATGAGAAAAAAGGGGCAAGAAAACAAAGAAAGAGAAAGGGAAAAAAATTTTACGAGTGAAATCGCAGCCTCAGGCACCTTAGAAACGTGCAACGGAAAGCTCCGCGGTTTTTCGCACAGTAGATCGGCTCCAATGTGTCTGTAGGGGTTATAATCGCGTGCTTGGTCGTTAGTAGCAATACCCTGAGGCAACATTGAACCCTTGCCACTAAGCCGACCACCTTTTCCGCGACAAACCCACGCCCTTATCTACCCTATTCGGTCTATGCAATTTTGTCTCTTCTCTTTATTCTTTTTCTCTTCCCTCGCTTCGCTTCATTGCTGTGTATATCATCCATTCTCTTTTCTCACCCTGTGAGTTTCGGTTGTCTTTCAATTCAATTTTACGTTTGAGTTTCCTTGATTTTCAAAAAGACTTTTATTTTATTTGAAAGTATAACGAAGGATGAAATTTGATAAATAATCCGAGGTATTTTTTTTCCAAGAGTTGGAATTTCAGAGTGAAGTATTTTAATTATTTTAAGGAAGTTCGAATGAATTAGCGGTTTAATTGGAAAACTAATAGATTTTAAATGAAATTTTTATAGAATGTTTATTATTACATCAACTGAAATCAGTGTGATTATTTAAAAAAATTTTCTTCTGTGCTGTTTTTTAATTATTAACGATCGAATTTAATCTTTATACACATGTTTTCATGTAGATTATCTGATGTTTTATCAAAACTATGAAATCTTTGAGAATGGTATCGTAGCTTTCTATCACGTAAGCCTGTCATACAAACGCACGTATACGAGAATTCATTTTAATTATAAATAATTTCAAAAAAAAGATTTAAAAAATTTATTCAATAATATTTTTAAATTAATAGTTGATGACAAAATATGAAAATAAAAAGACTTCGAATTATTCCATTAAAAATCATTCACAAATGTTTTTCTATAAAAAATAGCGTCTTCTATTGTTTTTAAATATTTAAAACAACTTGAATGATGAGAACAAAATTATAATAAATTTATTTATGTCCTCATAACGTTTATTTCAATGAAATAATCTAACAGAAATATCTATTACATAAAAGATTTTTCCTCCATTCAAACACTGCGTCTTTTTGTCTAAAATTCTCACACATTATTTCCTTTTTTGCAATCTACAGTTTCCCTTTTTCTTCTCCAAGCCTTCCTTTTATTTCTCTGTTTTTTCGTACAAAGTTTTTTTTTTCTCTTATTCATTTGACACCGCGGAATTTCTACTCGGAAATAATTCTAACCCTCTCTCATCTCGAACTACCCTGCTGCACTTCCGGTTTCATTTTTCTCATTGGTGCGGCCGGCGTCATTAAAATTGACCTACAATCGTTATCGAAAGACGGTGATTGTCGCATAGGAGAAAACTACCGTAATAAAAAAAAAGAAAAAAAAAACCGTAAAAGGACGAGTGAGGTGAGTTTTTTCTCTCTTCGACACCGTCTGCACTTCCCTGATGGTGCAATGCTTGTGGTAGTGGTGCACTCGAGACTGCAAGGGTTGAAATATCCTTTTGTCTTACCATCGATCCACCTACGTGACACTGAAATCAAAACCTCATACTAAAAAAGTTTCCGCTTGCAGTTACATTTAATATCTCTTGATTTATTAGTTGGGTGTTTTCGATGTAACAAACACAAGCTAATAAACTTTGAACAGTTACTCGAGAGCTCATAAATTCATTTTACATAGATGTTCTATGCGTTATTCGTGGAGTTTTTGATTTATGATGAACTGAGAAAAAGTTTTGCTTTGATAAAAAATGTCATGGGTGAATAAGTAGAGGAAAAATTGAGAGACGTACAAATTATTGGCTGTTAAACATGTGGAAATAAATTCATCATCATCATGATAAAGAAATCCAAATAGTTTACAATTAATAATCAAATAAATACTCCACATTGATCGAGTGTGGATGAAGGTTTTTTGGATTGATTATCAGTTGAGAGATCATGCTTAGTCAGGAAACTAGAATATTCGATTCAGCAAAAAACCAGTTCTAGAAATGCTGGGTGATTTTTCAAATTGATTGGATAAATCTGATGTGCTTGGAATCCAAAGTTTTTTGGAAAATATAAATTAACAGAATATTTTACAATTTTATATTTATCAAAGATAAAGTAAACTGGAAATTTTTCAGATTATTTTTTTTATTTATTACAACATTTTTTTTTCTACAACAAAAATAATTCTCGAGTTTGGGAAAAATTATTTCTATCAACATTCATGGACTTGAATAAAATTTTCTAGAAAACTAAGTAAAAAGCATTTCAATACTGACATTTTTCTTTAATACATGTTTTATTAAAAAAAAATTTTTTTTCAATTATTTAACTGGTTTATCTTTGAAAAGCTTTCGAAACCAACTTGTGTTTGACTGTGGTCTTTCATAAATCTTGAAAAAATATTTTCACAATAATCACATGAATACGAGAATATTTAAGCATACATTTTTAATCACATGGTAAAATTTAATTTCGAGTCATTTTATAAATCTCCAATATTGTGTTAGTAAATAATTTTTTCTCTACTTCTTTTAAATAAACTCAACCGTTCTCAACTACAGAAGAAAAAAATAATAATTAAACTTTATTTTACATTTTAACAAAAATCTTATAAAAGTAGCAAAAAGCATCAAAGGAAGAGTATTTCATTTGCCAACGAAGAGGTTTGTCATCATCAAGAGACCGAATCACAGATATTTTTCAAACGTTCATAACATTTATTTTATTCCTCTATTAAAAAAAAAAGAAAAATCCTTCAAAGTTGGAAAATATGAGAAAAATAAGGAAATGACGGTTATATTGCGTAGGTATTTGTTTATACTTCTCGTAGCATCAAAGTGTACCCTCTGTTCTCATTTACTTTTTACGCAGCTTCGTGGCCTTTGACACATTTCTTTTGATTTGATACTCCCTTTGCATATTGCTTGCTTTTCTACGTTCAATAGCTTCCCTACATGCCTTTTCTTCCTTTGACTTTTTTCCTTTTCACGAAATCCAGAAATCCTACAATTTTTCTCAGCCAGGCTTTCATAGTATCCTAAAGGACTTTTTAATGAAAAACATAAAGACTTTTTTTATAAATTTTTCTTTAAAATTGTGGTAATAAAACCAACACCGTATTGCCAAACAACGTACTTATGTTAAACATAATAATCGAGTCATTTATTTTATGGCTTTTTTTCAAATTGTTTGCTATAATTGTTCTCATTAATTTTCTTCATTTATTTAATTGCATCAGTTTTCATTGACTGAATCGTTTATTAAATTCACTTGAAAATTATTAAAAAAGAACAGCATAAAGCTTTCATAAATTTTTTTAATTATTAAGAAAACTTGCTTTTTACAGTAATTTTCATCCAGTAAATTAAAAGAAAATAATCGAAAATTATTAGTAAAATAAAATTGTTCACAAAATAAAGTTTTGATGTAATAATAATTGAGTTTTGTTTCTCCGCCAACATCATTAAATATTTTAAATTAAAATTTTACTATACAATATTATTTAATTTATCTAATTCAATTTTATTGAACAAATGGAAGCTTAATTAATTAAAAGCTTATAAAATAATGATTAACTTCAAAGTAATTGATTTGATCTTAAGAAAAATAATATACCTAATCTAAAAATTGTTTGGAAAAAGAAAGAAAAATCAAAGTGTAGATTAAACAATCTTAATTACATTTCTCTCATAATCCGTTCATTTTCCATCATTACTCCGTGAGAAGAATTAAAAATACCCGCGAAACTTCTAACTATAGCCGCAAAACTTTACTGACGAAGTCAATTAAGTTCTTTTGTTATGTGAAGACTAGAGCAGCAGCCACATAAGAGGTCGGCGATGGAGTAGGTACACCATCATCATAACATAGTCATCGGTCCTATCTTCATCCCTTTCTTACTCGAGTGTTCATTATACCAACACTACACATTTACTCTCGTCAAAATCCATCTAACATTTTTTCCACCTTTTTTCCATCACTTTAAAATTCTTTTTTTTTTCTTTTTCTCGGCTTTCTTTGTGACTTTTACACTTGATTACAGATGTAAAAATTTCACTGCTCCAAAAAGAATCGGCACTTCAAGCAGCCCAACTCCTATACGAATGCCTCATGCTCATCCAGAAACATTCCGACAATTCATGCATTACGTTTATACTGGAAAGGTAAATAAAACATAAAATATAAAATGAATATGCTGCATGGTTTTTTGTTTGATGTTAGACGAAAGTAAAAATTCTTTGAAAGATTTTTTGATTGAATTAAAGAAGTTTTACTTTTGTAACTTTTATCTAGATTATGCTCCAAGACAGTGGGATTTTTGAGATGCTTGGTTTGGCTCAAGAGCTAGGGGTTGAAGAATTGTGGAGAAGTTGCGAGGAGCATGTATCAGCAACACTGAGTCCTGGAAATGCTTGTGCACTTTTAACAGCAGCTCTCGATGCTCAAGAAAGAGTTCTTGGTAAGAAAAAAAATTTTTTTTTTTTCATTTCTATTGTTACAAGGTTTAAAGTAAAGTTGTTTGGTTTTGAAGATTTTTTTAACTCAAGTATTTTTGATGGAAGTAAAAAATTTAATGACTTCAAATATTAAACAGAGTGTTTCAAAGAAATAAAATAAAAAGATATTTTATTACTCACAACATAATAAATTAAATAGAAAAATATTCTCACTTGTGATGGCTGAAATTATTGAACATGGTTGGTATGAAAGAATTTATGTCATTATCTAGAAAGAACTATTGTTAAAAATTTATAAACGCTAGAGCACACTTTTGTTTCTGATCACGAAAAGTATCATTTATAATTAATAATACTGATGTTAGTATATTATCTCTGTACTATTAAAAAATTCATTTAATTCTGTTATGAAAGATTTTTCTTAATATACTGATTATAAAATTCATTTATGAAAGTAATAGTTGATACTGATGTTGAAGTCAATTTAATCTTATAATACTGAAAGAACTCGCAAGCTCGTCTTGTTGAATTATTTATTGAATCCTTGTGTTTCGATATCGGCTCAAAGAGTCACAGCTCAAAGCTCCTATATTGCATATTTTAAATCACCAGCGAATTATCGATTGAACCTCGTAAAAGCCCTCTTTTCTCTCAGCTAAAAATAAAAAATTGCAATGAAATTGGTCCGACAGTAAATACCATTAGTTACCTACCATAAATGTACATGTCTGATAGTATGATTTAAATGAAAGATACAATTTATACAGTAGCTAAATGTTATATTATCTGTAATCGATGTAATGTACATGTGAATTATACTCTCTTTCATGCCGGAAGTCAAAAGTAAAAGTTGAGAGAGGGTAATCTCTCGCGTATGACCCGTAAAAATGTGACATTCCCAGGCTGTCATCAATCTTCATTATTTTAATTTAGATTTACTTCATACCATGACCGGAATATGGATGCTAGGGGTCTATGAATTACCATGGGGGAGATTTTATCTAACATGCCTTGCAATTTTTGCAAATACTTCGTTTAAAAATTGCCATTTTTATTCTTCTTAGTCGTTTATTATTTAGTACAATTACAAACTGCTTGATTTTAAAATTATAAATGATTTTAATCAATTTTGATAGATATTATTTATTTTCACCGTTTAAATTGTAAATTAAATTATTGTTTGATATATATCAAAATTAATTGATCATAAACATGAGTCTATCATGAGTTTTGTTCAATATTTATATGCTTTAATAAATTATAATTAATTTATTTTAATAATTAATCATTATCTGTTGTTTGTATTGAGGATTTTTATTGTAAAACTCTATTGGTTCTCGAAAAAATAAGTATTTATTTATTTTTGTTAGATAATTCATTTTTCTCAGCGCTATAATTATTGTTAAATTTATTTTAAAAAATTAATAAAGAAAAAAACATTCAAAATATAATTTATAAATTCGCGCTATAGAGAATAGTTTCCCGCTTGACCACTGCAGCGCTTTGTTCGCGTCAGTCACGACCGTCACGACACCACATCCCGCCATTTTGTCACTTTCTCGTTGGCGTCACCGGCATTAGCACGTGCCACCGTTATAGAATATTTTTTAAACAAAAATAAGTGAAAATGTCGTACAAAGGGCCACAAAAAGTACAAAAAGTGATGGTACAACCCATCAATTTGATCTTCAGATATTTACAAAATAGATCAAGAGTACAAGTGTGGCTATACGAGAATATCAATCTTCGCATCGAGGGACACATAGTCGGCTTCGATGAATACATGAATTTGGTGCTCGATGACGCTGAGGAATACTATGTGAAAACAAAAGTGAGAAAGCAACTTGGACGCATAATGCTGAAAGGAGACAATATTACATTGATACAAAACACAAATCCTGGTTCAAACTAGTGAAAAGTTGCATTATAAATAAAATAAAGACTTTAATAAATGAAGAAAGTTGAACACCTGTCTTCATCAATGACCATTACCAACTTTCAAATAAACAAATGTAATTTAATTTTTCAAACATTGCTGAATTGTTAAAATAAGTAAATTTTCATTATTTTTCATTTACTATTTATGCTCAATGGTATTGACAATGAAGAACTTTGTACAAATGATGAATAGTATAAATAATGGTAATTATCATTTATAATTAAATACATAAAGCAATAAGAAAATCATTGAAAATTTATTTATTTCGTTTTTCCCATATTTTAATTATTATATAATATTAGCAACAAACACTGTTTACAGTATTTTAAATTAAAAATCACAATTGTTGTTTTGTAGATTATACTTAATATTCGTTAAGTAATCTTCTACTGATTCAGATTATTTTATGTCTTTATTGATATTATATTGAGTTATTAAACTCATCTTTTTAAAAAATATACATACAATATTTATTTATGCGATTATCTAATACTTTTTCTCATTACAGGTGGGAAAGGAGCTTGTTCATCATTCATCGAACGTTGTTTTGCATTTATAAGTGACAACGCAATGGATACAGTCAAAACAACTGCATTTTGCAATTTACCAAAAGATGCTCTAGTGAAGTTGATATCTTCTGACTATCTAGGTCTTGAGGAAGAAGACGTATGGCGAGCTGTTCTAAATTGGGCTAAATATCAAGTAAAAAAATATACATATTTGAAACATTTGTTATTCAAGTAAATTATCATTGTTAAACTGTCTAGTAATCGTTCCTTTTGTTGAATAATAGGCTGGTGTTACTCAACCAACTCAACATTGGACAGAGGAAGAAAGAGTAAGAGTTTGTCAACATCTTGCTGGTGTTATTAATCACGTACGTCTTTTATTAATTGACAGTCATGTTTTTGCTGAAGAAGTTGAACCTACTGGTGCAGTTCCTATTGAATTATCATTGGAGAGGTAATTAATATTCTTTATAACATAATTTTTAATTTATTTAATTATTAAGTCTTATGATACGAATTCTTTTTTCTTTGAATTTTTATATCAGTGTATTGACAAAATTCGATACAACTGAAATAAATCGTCAAAATGTATTCGTAATGATTTATTCATGTTTTAGATACCGTTACGCTGCAGTACCAAATAAATATTCTGAAATTTGTGCAGACAAGCGTTTGCAACCACGAATTGGCCCTCTGTTATTTCCAGGCTCTCAGATTCTCTCTCGAGATAAAATGGGCTATCAGAGATTGCTAAATCAATGGTATGGTTGTCCAAAACAAAACTGGCGTTTGATTTATCGTGCGTCAAGTAATGGATACTCTGCTGCAGCTTTCCATCGTCATTGTGATGGAATCGCACCCACTTACACTATAGCATTGGTTTGTATAATGATTATTACTAAAATCTAATTACTATTTACTTGAAAATAACGGTAATTAATCAATTCAATTAATATTTAACTATTACTCGGTAATTAATCATAAATTTTTTATGGTTTTAGTTTATCATTTATTGGTTATTATATACTGTTAATTATTTATGTCAAATAATTTACGCTAATAATTGTTGATTATTGTTAATAAAACTTTCGTTTAAACTATTTGCCTGCAGGGCACACGTGGTGAGATATGTGGAGGTTTTAGTGATGTTGCTTGGGATAAAACAAGTGCCAAGGGCCTCTATATATCTTCTGAGAAAGCTTTTCTCTTTACTCTCACAAACAATCAAGACGTTCCACCAACGAAATATGATCTCATCAAGAAACCTTTTGCTATTTGCTATCATCCAGAGTAAGGAAAAAATTTTTATCTTAGATTTCATTTCACATGTTCTTTGATTTAATAAAGACTATAAAAATTTTTCTGTTAGAACATAGTCGATGGTTGAAAAAATTTCTTCTACCAAGTTTTCATTTCTTTTTTTAGAATATAATTGAATCAAAAGCTTTTATCATCAAAAAACTGTCATAGAATATTGAAATGCATTTAAAATCAGTCATCTATTAGTTATCATTTTAATTGTAGTAAAACATTTTGAACAAAATGATTGTAATTATTTTTTAATAGAACAATTGAAATAAGTGAAGCATTTCTTATCATCATTAAACTAATTTTAAGAAATAGTAGACTAAAAACTTTCTTTAAAAGCTTTATTATGAAATAATACTTAACTTATCAACTTTAATTACTCTAAAATGTCACTTGTCTATTAACCTGTCATTCAAAATATTTTCTGATGAATTTTTCAATTAGTTATGACTAATTAATTTAAAATTTTTCAGTATTGGCCCAATATTTGGAGCAGGAGCTGATCTATTTATTTCCAACAACTGTAATGTCAATATGGATAGTTACAGTAATCTTCCTCATAGTTATGATGGTGAAAATGCCTCTTGCACTATTTTAATGGGAGACTATCACTTTACTGTCCTTGATTATGAAGTTTTTACACTAAATGGTCCTATCTCCAAGGCAGATAGGCATTAATATCAATTATTATTGCTTCATGGAAAAAAGACAGCAACAAGTATGAGAATAATCAAATTATTATCGATGATTAACAATTATCCTGTGGACTGTAAATATCAAGAACAAGTTCGAGATTCTTCTTTTGTAAGCGTAAGTCACCTTCATATTCCCTTCCTTATTTTTTTACAATTCTGCTCCTATCCCTATATTTTCAAAAATCAATCGAAACATCAATAACTTAAGTGTTTAAAATAATACTAGGAGATTGTAAATGAAAAAAATATGTTTTTAATAAATAAATCATTGATTAAATTAAAAAAAAAAACAATTTTTTTCATGAATGGGATGAGCATACGTGGAACAATAAAATTTTAAGATAGTTAAAAAAATTTCATTTAAAGTCTTTTGTAATTAGTAATAGCATATTTAATTTTGAATTTAGTTCTGACGTAATTACATGTCATTTAATTTAATTAAAAATTTTGTTGAAATATTTTGAAGTTAATTACACACATCGTTAAATCGTTATTATTGGGTCTAGGCTTTAAAAAGATCAAACTAAATTAAGATAATTATGTTTTCATGAAATAAATGAAAAAAAAAGTAAAAAATAATCGGACATGTTTTAATGAATATCAAACATAAATAAAAAAACGTGTTTTTTCAGTAAAACATAATTCAAATGATGTGCCAGTATGGCCTTAATAAAAAAAAGTTTATTTTTAAACTATTAAAAAATTTTGTTGTTCCATTTAAATGCATGAACATGAGTGAAATGTCATGATTTAATCATATAGGTATATAAGACCCATTAAAATTGTTATAGTAAAGATTTAAAAGTATCCATCTCATGTTAGATGTTTAAACTCAGCAAGAGTGCGACGCCTCGAAGGCCAACGCATTTAAAATTCAACGCACCAAATAAATAAATTTCTTAAGGAATGAGATGATGTCAGGAGCGACGACGGGGAAAGGGAAAATAAAAAGACTCGAGGGGAAAGGGAGAGGAGTTAAATGGATAAGCAAAGAGGTAGAATAATTTTATTTTATTTAACTCCAAGTTGGTCAGCTATTCCAACGTAATTTCGTTTCGATGTGATGTTGAATGAGTATATATGTATATGTTTACGGATATGTAATGGTACATTCAGGCCCCCTGGACCGATCTGCAACGCCTTTAGGGCCTATAAATCGGTTTAATTGATAACTAATAGTCGCGGTTGGAGTCGAAACGTGTCCTGAGAATGCGGCCCACTTGTAACTGAGGTCACATAAATTTTGAGGATGGTATGTACAATGTTGTAAGCTATGTAAGCTACCAGCGTAGGTCTCTCAAAAGGTTAAATGGCTCAACATTTTGTATTTCATGATAAAAATAAGGGAAAAGATTTAAACGATTTTTGACGATTAAGCGTGAAAAAAAACTTGGAATCATTTACTCTTTCGAGATGAGACAGAAAAGTAAACTCTTCAAAGTATCATCATGATAATCTGATCAAGTTTTCTGTATTCTACAGAGTTATTGGAATTTTTCATTCCTATTTATTTTCTCACTTCATATGAAGTTAAATAGTGTTTCAATAGCACTATACTTTCTCTAACACTTCAGAATTTAAAACATTTTCTGATCTCTGTAATTGATTCGAAGCATTTAAATACATATGAAAATGAGATTGCTCTTCACTGAGGTAATAATTCTTGGTTTTTATTATTACTTTACTTCATCGCTCTTCGCAACAATAATTAGCGAAACCAGTTTAAAAAATTTTAACAAGCAAAAAAATGTTAAATATCGAACTCCCACGTTCTGAAGTTGAAGAATTAAGTAAGAAAATCGTGAAAACGTAGCAAGAGTTTAGTGAAGGTTCGATAATTTAGCTGAGGGTTATAATAAGTAGCATGGCACACGCGAAGGATAAATAGGGATCCCGTAATGTGAGGATGTGAAGTCACTCACGATATACTTACATATTATGTATATAGAGAACGGTGATTATTCGGTAGTGATGTTTGTACGATGGTGTTCTTGGTGCAAGGGAGTTCACTTAGTAGGTAGAGCAAAGGGTAGAGGCCGAACGGTGAAGTAAAACTAAGCATCAAGAGCTAAGAAGTCAGCCAAGATGAGGCTAAGAACTGAAAGGGTGCGGGGATAAATTGTGTGGTTTAATAATGCAAGGTGAACCGTAACTCAAAGCCGTGGTAACCCTGTGAACCTTGGTCACATAAAGCATGGATTTATATGCAGAGAATACACAACAGTGCTTTGAAACTCTTAATAACGAGAAAAAAATATAGTGAATCATTGAGACAAGAGAAAAATTATTCTGTTTAACTTTATTTGATATGATAAATCAATTGGTAATTTTTTTAGGACTTCTAGATATTAACGTTGAGTAATAAAAATTTATTTTCCATTTCGTAAATATCATTTAGATCTTTCAAGTATGATAACTAAAAATAAAAATTCATTTCTCGTTTTATACCTATGTATTATTTATACAAAATTTATTTACTCATTACTTTAAAACTTGTATACGAGTTTTATATAATAACCTGTCTGTAAAATAATCAAATATGACATTCGTTTGATGCTTATATTATTAAGTTAATTAAAATTAATGTTAATATTTGAAATTAATTAAAAAATCAGATTAACAAGTGAATTTACACTGAGACAAGGATTTCTTGTAGTTGATAAATTAATTTAACGACGTTGATTGATACAAAGTTCTTGAGTATTTTTATTATTAGAATAATTATGAATAGTTATCAAATCCTTATTAAAATAATTTTATTTGCCTTATAAATCAGAATGTAATTCTATCTAACAAATCATTAAAATTGACGTTTAACATATGGAATAATCGTATTCCTATACAACCAAAGTATTTCTACGTCATAAAACTGAGAAATATAATTTGTTTATTTTTTTTTAATTGACATAATAGTAATTTTGTGCGAATAGAAACTCATGAAATTATTTATATCCTATTAATAAATCGAACAGATGGTAATAGAATGTAAATAAGAGCGAGAAAATTTTTTATGAACACTTATAAATTAAAAGTTATTTATTTTATTAAAAAAAATTTCTATTTTTAATAGCTAATAATATCGAAAATAAATTTACTAGATTTTTCAATCATTATTAATTGATGTTTAATTTGAAATTATTCAAATATATGATAAAATTAAAAATTAAAATTAATTAAATTCTTTCAAACATTTAATTAGCACCAGAAATTTCAACTGAAAATTGATTTATTTCTTGTAATTATATTTATTCCATTATGAAATCTTTCTCTCAGTGTAATAGAAAGTACAGTAAACTGTTAAATTTTTCAAGATAAAAAAAAATAGTGTAAATTTGTGTTATCGTGATAACTGTTATTAATATATTTTATATAATGTAAAACACTGTCTGACAGTGTCGAAAATCTTCAGTTGCCTAATTATAAGCACCTGAAGCAATTAAAAATGTGATTAATTAATATTCTTAATCAGCTGTACAAAATAATATTGCAAAAATGAATTTACAAGTTCTGAATATTCAAGGTAAACAGGATAATTTTTGCTGATATAGTAATGGCTTTTGATGCACACGTGACGAAAAGATGTATCAATCTTCTTCTTCATAAGTATATGAATTAATAATTGAGGAAAAAAAAATTGATTAGAATGTTTTTCTTGTTTGCTAAGCAGATTCAAAGATCCTAGTGTTGATTGGATGATAGAAACTTAATATTAACAGTCTAATAGCCAGTCTCGTCTTCACTAATTGATATTTAAACGCAAATCATTTATTCTTCTTCTTCTTGGATGCTTACCTGGCGCATATATGTATACATACCTTTAGTGTTATGATAGAAGAAGAAGAGAAAAGAAGACAAGAGGGAAAAGAAGAATTTATACTGCGTGTACGTTGAATATTCATGCTTTGGTGCATTATGAGTTAGTACCTCTATCTTTATCCTGGCTTCATTATATTGCCTATTTATGCTCGTAACCTTTCCTTACGGAGTTCACACGCAATCTCATATTCTCGTGAAAGACGAGCCCGTTCAATTTTATTTATCGACATGTTCACTTTTTTCGCTTTATTTCATTTTTAATTAGAAAAAAATGCTATGAAAAATTTACACTTTTTATTTACAAGAAAAACTGTTGGTTGTAATCATCATTTATTGTTGGAATGATTCAATTAAAAGTTTAATTGCTTACTTAAAGCTTAGGTTGGAATTTTTGAAGTTTTGCTATGAAGTAATAGAACTGTTTAATCTAGGAAATGAATAAAAAGTTGTAGATTATGAAAATTTTTAATTGATTAATTATTAGAATTAATAGTGACTTTTAAATCTTAGGATTGCGGATAGATTTTGTAATTCATTCAAAATAATTAATTGGTAATAGAAATATTTTATTTTCTCATCAATATTTACATTTCAATAAAAACTACTGGCCTTGGTCCCACCGTCACAATTTTATTTAATATATTTACATAACTTCATTTTTTACTATTTAATATTTATATTTAAATTATTTCTTAAAGCTATCCTTTTTGCACAGATTAATTGCACAATTTTAAAAAAAAAATATCTATGAACAATTTTTACAACAAATTATTTATTAGTTATGTACTGGCCATAAATCTCTAATTAATAACTAATTAGAGTTGATTTAAAGAAGTATTGCAAATAAATATTTACATGAATCTTAGCTAATTTAGTTTGGAAAAGTCAGTATATAAAATCGGTCGAGTCCAAAAATGCAAAACAACTATCTTGTTAAAAGCGGTCTTATGTTCAGCAAGATGAGCTCGTGTCTATGGATAAACCAGTTGCGAAGGTATTGTCCAATTTATTTATTTAAAAAAAATCTTAATTTATGTCTTTCTTGAATTTTTTTTTGACCTGATTCCCATCTAAAATTATTTCGGTTTGTCTGTTCAAGTTCAAGCCAACCGAAAGAACAAATCTATCATCATTTTGACAGCCAATTTGACCGATTGCCTATGGTTCTGGACAAAATCAATGAGGCAAAGAATCGATGAAGGTGCTGGTACATCGACAGGAATCGAAAGCAATGAGGTTTATCTTTAAAGCATTGGTTAGTTGCCGACACATGTTCTTGAGCTTCTTCAACACGTTCTTAACACGTGCATGATTATTGTCAATATGTTTTACGATGATAGACCGGGATAGAGATCGTTAATTAACCTGGACATATCGATTATCTCATTCATCTAGATAATCTCTCATTAAAAATTTTTAAAGCAGAAGTGAGAATGTCAGGTTCATTTTGCTGATCGATTATGACCGAATAATGAGGTCAGCTTTTACTGATTTTCGTTTTATAATTGGACTTTTTTGATTGCTGTCTTTCAAGTTTAAATTAAAAGATCCCCCGGAGATGTTAAAAAAATTTCAATTGATATTATTTTATAATATTATATATTATATTGGATGTTAATCCATGAAAGTCTCTAGTTAAAAATTGGGTCAATATGCTGTCTGTATTTAAAATTTATATCGTTGTCTTCATAAACAAGATAAAAACATTGCAAAGTCATCAAATATCTTTATCGATACATAGTCGTAAAAATTGGCTTTGCTCAATTCTCCTAACGACTAAAAATGTTGCCGAACATTTTAGGATTGCACATTCCACAGAAAAATAATTGTTTAATTTTTTTCTATATTACGCCCTGGTAGTAAGATCAATCGGTAGTGGTCTTCTCTTTAAAATAGGACTTTCTCCATCACTATCCTCCAAATTGACATCTTCTTCTGATTCCTCACTTGTTATTGTTCCACTTGTTTTCATAGACAAGTCAATAGGATCATCTTGAGGTGGTATGCAGTCACGATCAGGACTGGACCTTGGTGAATCATCAATTCGTGATTTCTTAGATATTGGTGATGATCGTTGACTCTTTAAAACAGCATCTAAATAAAATCTCTTATTTGAAGAAATTTCTTCACTTACTACATTGTGATTAGCCACGTATCTGCTATTATTGTTCGTAATATTTTCGTAATTGTCGCTGCTTCCTGGTGTTAAATCGGTGGTTGGAGGATTATTAGCTAATGGTGAGCTTCGAAGTGTTGAATGATTAGGAAGCAGACTAGGATGAGTATGAGACGCATAAAGGTGATAAGGTGAGAACATGGATAGGCCAGGTGGTGGTAGAAATGATGGAGGAAGCAATGACATACCACCAAGGTATCCTAGAGGAAGACTCATCATTTCCTTGCTTAGTGATGATAAGTCTGGTGGTGGAAGATGAGGATGAAGAGGTCTAAAACCTGGATGAAGGCCATACGCTGCTCTTCTTTCTGACACTTCCACTGAACTGTCACTATTATGTGACTCTGGCGAACTTATTGACGGTGATGTCGAATTTTTGTAGTCATCTAGACCTAACATCACTGAATCTTCTTTACTTCTTGGAGTGGAATGAATTCCCATTGAAGGGGTTGAATTTGGTTGTGGTGGCCGACTTGTTAGATTCTGGTGCTGCTGTTGTTGTTGTTGCTGTTGTTCTTGGAGTAAACAGTGGATTTTAAACCAATTTGAACGCCTACCATAACGTGATCCCGACTTTGACATGCCTACGAGTAGACATTTTCGTAATCGACAAGCTTTGCAGGCCGTTCGGTTTTTTTTATTTATTACACATTCTCCACCATTTTTACATTCAGATATACTTCCAAGATTGTTGTAGGACCTTCCAAAAAATGACTGTAACAGAAAGATAAATATTTTTTATTTCAATTCAATTGTTAAATTAATTTCATAAAATAATAGAAATGAAATGATATGAAATTAATGATAAAAAATTAGTTTCTTAGAAGAAAAAAAAAAGTTACAGTAACTTCTAAGTTTAATCCAAATATGATCAATAACCTTATATAGACGAAAAGTCAGAGGCTCTTGCACCAGGACATTGGGTTACAGTCTGATATTCATCTCGATTTCTTTATTTTTTTTTTCATTACAACTTGGTGTTTCTATTGTTCCATCAGCGGCGACCGTGTCCCTCTTAACCGAGAAAACGAAACTGCAATTACTTTGTTTACGGCGTACGCCACACTCACACGCCAATTTGTATCAAAAAAAGAGATGGAAAGATTAAGAATGGTAAGGGGAGAAGAGGACACTACTATTTCAGAGTACGACAATGATAGTGAGGGTACTTATTTCTTAGTATGGTGTGTTGGAATCATGAATTTCACCACTGAAAACAATTAGTATAGAGGGCCAGAGAGTAGTAGGCCGAGCACGCGCCTTGGTCCCCTTCCTTCCACTCTGCATGAGGTACATAGAACCATATAGAAGCACCCACAGACCAATGAATGAGACAATGGGAGCGTGATTGAGGCAATTCTCAAGCAAAACAGACCTCGAGGTTACTACATTGCCATCGTAATTTTAAGTTTCTGGGGCTCGTGAAATATTATTGCATATAATACCTGTTATTGTATTTATTGAAACAACCTGGAAAAAAAATTCTGACTACTGTTTAGCTACTAAACTGGCCAAGAAGAAGATTCTAATTATGACTCTAAATTTTAGATTATTAAGAAATACATCTTTTCAACATGTGGAAGAAGTTAATTAAATAATTATTGTTTTTACAATTGCGTTTTTCAATTGTAAATGCAGATTTCCATAAAAATATCTCAGTAGAATTTTTTTTTATTTCTCACTTCAAAGAGAATATATTTATTATCATTTTTGATAGAATATATTTTTTTGAGGCCATCAAAAATACTAATGTTGAAAAAATTTTAAAATTGTAATAAATTTACTTTCTAAAGAGTATTTATATTTTAATTTTCTATTAAAAAAAAAGAGAAGTAAAGATGAAAAATTCTTTTTATCAAATGTTTATAACCAAAAGAAGATTTCAGTGAATTTTCGAAATATATTTCAAAATTTTTCAAGAATTATTTAAATACTCATAAAAAAAATTAACGATGACTTTTCAAAAGAATCCAAATAAAATTTACTGGACTAAAAATAAATTATCTAACGATTTCACTGATCGGTATTCATTAAATTTGGCAGCGAAACGCGACCGAAAACTCGGGCACGAGGTTACTTGCGTAATGATTGAAGCGTGGTTGTGCTGCATAATGGTGGCATTTTCACGGTTGCGTCATCGTTAGCCAGGTCCGAAGAGCGTCTTGGTTGACGTTACATTGTAACTATTTAGTCACAGACTGACGACACAAATTATGTAGCATAAAAGTGCTTTCGTGAATCGATTAAGTTTGCCACATATTTTTTTTTTGCTTTAGGATCACTGATTACGCGCGTCTATGAACATCGAGGACTGCGTGGAGAAGTGATGAACGCCTTCTTCTTGTGTTGGGGCCGCCAACCGGAAACGATTAATAATAATCCACACAAGCGCGTGGCCGGAAAAAAGGGAAAGCGGCGGAAAACGTCGAGGTTGAACCTATTTGAGTGTCTTGATCATTTTATCTAGGTTTTGGAAGCCGATTAAGTCTGTATTTTTTTCTTTTCCATACCTGAAAACTGTACCAATCTCAAAAATTAATGTTTCCGTTTACTATTAAAGAGGCTTTTTAATGATGAGAGATAAAACATAAATCAACATTCTCCTGTTGACAGGCAGATTATTCCAAGCTTCTTTTAAAAACAAAAAGAAACATTTTCAATTACAATAAAATTTGTTGCTCGCACACACACATATTATTTATTAGTGATTTTGAAGGAATAATAAAATTCAAATGAGTTCTAGAACCAATCATCAAACTGTATTTTTTTGTTCTCCATTCAAGGGAACAGAAGATGAGAATAAAAGTCACTAAATACTACTAAAAAATATTTAATGGTCACTTAATGGCGATTAATTGAAAATAAAAATTAGCAAGAGATTAAAAGCAGTTCTCCTTGCTTAAAATGAAACAAAAAAAAAGGCGAGAGAATAAATTTCCCGTACCGATGATTTCCCGTCGATGTCGCAAAGCCACAAGGCAATCGCTTTCACGACCCGAGGTTAAACGTTTGGTTAGGCATGCGTGCAGCGACCCCATAAGTCCGAAAGTGTCCAAGGGGAGTAATATAACACACAACATGATGAGAGAATAGTTGAAGAAAAGTGTATGGGTGTACACATGTAGGACATGTTAGGATTGTATAGGCTCAGGATATCGTGCGGTAGGTGATGGTCTGGATGACGTGAAGTTGATCGCGGAGGTGGAAAAACGAACGGCAACCTCGTGGATTTATGGTGGGAGGTGACATGCTACGATGGGCCTGAAAACGAAAATAACGAAACGAAACAATGTCGCGGGTTGCGCAATGAATAACTAGGGCGGAAACAATTGTGGCGGGCAAGTGCGAAGCGCCGGAATAAATCATCAGTGTTACTCTAGTAGTACAGGTTCTTGCTCGTGCGCGACACGCTAGATAATGCTCTCGATTGTTTATTTAATGATATTTAGATCGTAAGCTACCGGAAAGAGTTAGGAAACAGGCAAAGAACAATTAATATTGCGTTAGTTAATAGCTTACTATTTCAATATGTTATTTAATTTTTCATTGATGGAGGGAATATTCTAATTTTATTGTCATTTAGATAAATAGAATTTTTAAACTTTATTATTTTACCACAAGGTTTATTTATTTAATTTGATAATTAACACCACTTTCTAATCTCGATTGTTTGAACAAAAAATTAACTTTATTAATAAATATATTTAAATATCTAGACTGTAATAATTATTAAAGAAAGTTATTGAACTGTTTTATTGTTGCTAGAAAGATGTTCATGATTTAGGTCTAAAAGATAATTTATGATGGTCAAGAGTATTGAGGACCTTCAACTTACCTTGCATCCTTCGCAAGTAAAAGCTCCAAAGTGGAATCCTGCCGCAGGTTCACCACAAACTTTACACTGTTGATTCATCTGTAACAGAAACCATTGGATAAAATATGATTTTAGATGATGGAATAATAAGTCATAAATAATTATTTTATTTATGTCATTCAAGTTATTTGATAGGCATAAGAAATGTTGTAATGATAATAAAATAAATCATTATTGCCACTTGTATTATTGGATCCCAATGAATGATCTCGAAAGAGAGTCTCTTCTTGAACAAGAAGCATATTGTGCAATTGGCTCTCTCGGTCGCGAGTCGCTGAATCGTAGCAAAGTTGGTAAGCAAGAGGGGCGCGTGTTACATTCAACAAGCGGAAAATTCATCGTCATATTTTCTTGATTATTTTTGTCGGACTACGTAATAATTTTACTCAAGATCCAAGGACTTGAATAGTTGAGAAATGACCCACATCTTTTCATCTTTATGTGTACACATAAATACCCATGTCATACATTTGCTTCGTATGCCTGGTTTGTCTGTGAAAAGGTATACTTTCGTTCGTGACAACTGATCGCTAAATAGATGAGTAAATTTTAGTAAATTATAGAGGCAAATAGAGAGACATCGGACTTTTTATTTTGGTTGGTAAAATACTCCTGACCTATACCCTTCAGTCGTTGACTCTGCTTATTCACGTAGTATTCAAACGGTTGTAAGTTTTTTTTTATCACTTCAAAATATTTTTAAATAAAAAGCGAATTTATTGAAATTAACAATTTATTTAATCATAAAAAGATATTTTTAAGTCAACTGATGGTGAGATTTATTTCAAAAATTTGATCGGAACAATCAATGCAAAACTATCTAACATCAACCATTCAACATTTATCGAAATTTCAAACCAAGTGAAACAAGTCGGAATTAGCGAGAAAATGTCTGGGAATGTAAATGATACATTTGATGACTTTTGACATGAAAGATCACGCCTCGATCGTCAGAATCGATCCCCAATCGGTAAATCCTAGAGTCTTGTAAGCGATCTGAAGGAGCTGCTACGATTCTCACGGCTCTGATGTCGGCTATAAGAATATCGCAACCGATTCTACGGCAACCTTCTGCCTCTTGGCGATTCTCGATCTCGATCGTCGGCTTTTCATTCTTTGAGATCCGTGTGGCTGCACGCCAACGCGAAAGAATCCCCTGCGAAACTATCTGTTCGCTTCCCCTTCATGTTCATCCTTGAATCCATTGCAAAGTGCAAGGATATCGTAAGAAAAAAATTAACAATCATCGGTTTATCTTTTAACTCTTCAAAAGAGTTTACATCCGTCTTGAGTTGTATGTGCCATATAAAATACCTGCAATCTAACGATGACACGACCGGATACACACCTGCGAATAGTCAGGGTGCGGGTTAGATAATAAACACGTGTGATTGTTATTTTAAGTTTATGTTTAAGGGACTCATTAATTTTACAAAAGAGTCATAAAGACAAAGAGTTAATTCTTTTAGCGGTAATTGAGTGTATTGAAAAAATTAAAAGCTTAAATAATTAATTTGAGAATGGAAAATAAATGTTTTCTTTTCAAATATCATTAGGAACATGGGGTTTTTATATTTTTGATGAAGATTAAATTTCTGAATGAATATAATTAAAGGTGTGAGAGAAGTAACAGGTGTTACTAATTTTTGAAAAATCATTCATAATTATTGGTAATGGAGCCATAAAAAAATTTTAAAGCTTTTAATTGGAAATATTAATTTTTTTTTCATCTTAAAACACTCTTCAATTGCGTCGTTATCTATTTGACTTTTTATTATTTCTTTGATGAATCATTTCGATGTTAACACAGTACACAAAAATTCCGAAATATTCTATTCAGCCTATCAATAACTTATCCAACAAATAATAAAAAAAGAAAAAGAATCAAAAATTTTCCAATACGATTTTTCCCGAAACCAGGAAAACATAAAATTTTTCCAAGATTCACTTTTAAATTTAAATCAACCTGTTTATAAGGTAAAAAATGAGTTGTTTACGTTTATAAGCATAGATATTATTCAAAATAGTCCAAATACTTGAGGCAATGACGTCTCTTTAATGACTTAAAAAGACACTAGGAAATGTTGAGAGTTAATTTATCTTGTTCGTTATTTAAACTGACAAATCAAGTTGTTGATAGAAATACCTTAGATTAGTTGGCCAAAAAACCACAGAGATTACCTCAGATACTCTTTTACATCCGCTTTTCCAACTCGAAAATGCTTAGGTGTCTGTAACGGTTGCAAAACTATTTGCGGTAGCAAGAGAAAGATAGGAAGAGTCAATATTTTTATTTCTGTTATTCTCATGGACAATGACTCAGCCTAGAAGCACACGGTAAGACGTTAATTTATCGACGATGAACTCAGATGCTTGATAAACATCTCTTCACCCATCATCCATACCTTCATTTATCCCCGCAGAATCTCATGGTGGTTAGAGTTTGGAAATTAACTAAATAAATACCCTTTTATCTTTTTTTTTTAAACTTACTCTATAATTTTCAAAGTCTTTTATCGATATTTTAATACTATCTACACATGCATTAAATTACATTCCATAAAACCCTTTTTTTACGTAATTAATAGAGATTACTTGGCAACAATTCTAGAGCATTGAATTATTTCAAGGAATTTTAAGAATAGAATTCTTTTTAATGGAATTGTAATAATGGAGTATTTATTTTTTTTTCATCTCTCATCTAGAGTTAAATATAAAAGATTAGAATATTTATCAGAATGAGAAAAATATTCCTTACTTGTGATTTAACTAGCAAATTATAAATCACTATTTTTTATGTTGGGATTTTTTTAAATGTATTACTCTTCAATTCGCGTTGATTTTTTACTGTTTTACTGCTAGGTTTTCCATTTTGTTTACTTTTAGTGTCCCCTGGACTGTATCTTGGCTTTTTTAAAATAATTTAATCTGCAAGCAAACACATTATTTAGCAATTTGTACATAAAATGGTAAAAAAGTTTATCTAGACAAGGCCAAACAGTCTATGGGAGGTAAAAAAACATAAAAAACTGTGCTAAAGAAATGAGGGATGGGGCGTAAAAAAAAGGTAGAGTACCGTTAAATTGACAGAAAATAATAGAATAACATTATATTGAACTGAATAGACTGAAGTAGATTTTTAGACTGTTTACAAAGGAAACACTAGGATTTTTATTGCACATTTTTTTATATGTCTATGAGTTCTTAGACGTGCGTACAAAAAGACATTTTTTTAACCGTAATTCACTTTATGATGCCATTGAATTTATCTAAGACTTGGACTGTAAGCTCTAAGTAGTCTTTTAGCAGTTCAAGCTCGGAGTGTGGCTGAGTTGTACTAGTAACGTGGGATACTAGAGTAGATAGCGCCGTGTAGAAAGTAGAAGAGGGTTTGAGGGAGAAAAGGGCATCAGGTCAAAAAGTTTTTTTCTAACGGTATAATTAAATGAACAATAATTGCAATAAAAAAAATTCAAAGCTTTTTTTAGTCATTTTTTACCAATAACTTGGGACAATTTAATAATTTCCTGTGTTATTAAAGTGGTAAAAAATGTTTTTTAGATTTGAAAAAAATGGCTTTTTTCAAATAATAAGAAATACGAAGTAATAGTTGATATTTAAGTCATTAAGTCACTTATTAGTAAATACTTTAACATATTTTTTTTAAAGATGAAAAACACATTGAGATGCCACAAATTAATCGATTCAATTTTTTTATAATTTATTTCAATAAAAATGAATTTATCTAAATTATTTTAATTTAAATCAATATAAATAATAGACGATCAAGATTTGTTTATAAATTCGACAGAAATAAATTCTATCTTCTTAATATTTGAGTGCTTTCATTTATATTCAATTTACTAACTCATAATAAATAAAATTCAATACTTTATTTACCTCATCAACACCAACACTTAGATAACTTTTATAACCTGATCTAAAAGGAAAATTCCATCAAGTATCCCACAGACTTTTTCTACCTCAATAATTCCCTCGATTACTCCAATAAATTATCTAACTTGAAGAAAAAGTCTTTTTTTACATAACTCGTCTGTTAAATCCTTTTTTGTTTAAATTAGAAAGATAATAATATTTCTAGAAACAAAGTCGATTTTTTCCCTCCAAGTTGAATGATTTTTCCCATGATTAATTGAATCGATTACTGTATCGCAGGTATTTAATGTGGCTAATTACTCATCGTTATTAACCGGAACAATCGACGAGCAGTTAATCACATCTCACATCTCCTTGACTCAAATATCGTCACGATCTGGTTAGCGAGCCAGTAGATCAGCTTCCGTTCTGACGAAATTTTGATGTTTGTGACGCCCTAGTAAATTCTATATAGATCGTTCTTGTATATACGTTTATTATGGCTTATGGCATTTGTTTATTGTTTTCCATTGTCCGTCTCCCGTCGCGTTTCATACCCACTTAGCTTAGTATCCATACTACTATACCTTTCACTCGATATTTGATTCCGTCTGCAATTGACTTGGAATATCGTGCGATCGAGTGATTTGTTGAAAGACTCATGTGCGTTGTACATTATAGGAATAACAAAAATAATTGCGATCTTCATCTGATCATTATGGGACCGCTAAATAAATTAACCAACTAATTACAATCACACTGAGATCTTTTTATTTTTTTGCAACTTGTTATTATCATTATTTATGTTTAAAAAAAAATTTGAAAAAAGGGCAATCATAAATCAATTCGAAAGCGTCCGATGTCTGTTGCAATCAAAGTCATAAAGTAGCGACTGATTTATTTTTTATCATTTTTGTTTAATGGAACCGGCGCCTCTTGTAGAGTCCATTAGCCACAAACTAGACAAAATTAATTGGCAGAGCGTTTAAATTAATCTTCACACTCGAAAAATGATTTTTTTTCTTCGTTTCTGTTCTTTCACTTTACAGATATGGATAGAGAGAAAAAAGAGGTGAGATAAATTGCACACATTTCAAAACTAACCTTTGCTGATTAACTTCAGTAGTAATATCAGTATAGAAAGGCTATCCAGAGCCTTAAAAAATGATCGAATGGTTGTGAATGAAAAAAATAAAATTGTTTCACTTAAAAAAAAATATCCATAGTCACTAAGAAAAATAATCATTCCACAGAAGCACTAAAGAGTCACAGTTAATAAATAATTAATGATATTTTCTTTGTATGGCCATCACGAGCACTTGCACTTTTTGGCGGTCAATCGTCTAAAATGATGAAGTTTTATTTAATAAAATACACAGTTATTAAATAAGTAATAAACAGCTAAATAGAGTGTTGATGCTATGACGATGACCGACGGGTGAATGACTCTGTTGTGATGATGGTGGTCTCAGTAATTTTCAAATCACCTCAAATGTCCCCTTCTTCGCGGCGTTACTTCCCTTCCCTCTTTTTTTTCACTGTCAGACACTTGACAGAACCCGAGGAATCCTCGAACGGTCCTCGACTACTGACTCAGAGGGTCACTAGCAGCTTAGACTTGAGACTCTTTCAGGTATACGTGCGTCGATCGCTCTTATGAACACCACTGTGTGCGTCGGATCAACGGAGAAGCGTGCGGGGTCCATCCGCAACAGCACAGGTGGGCCGTTTGGTCCCCGGCTGGACCCCGCATTCAATAGAGTGGGAAAGACCGCGGGCATTAGGGTGGGAAAACACGACGACGCCTGCGAGAATCTCACGTGGAACGTCCTCAAGAAGGGGGACTTATGGGGAGGGGCTTCTTTTACTTCGTCTTCTTCTTCTTCCTCTTCAAGTGAAGATTATTGTCTCTTTTTAAGATTCATCTCCTATCTTATTCTTTATATTCGTGCGTAAAAAGAACTATACTGTTCTTGAATTACTTTATTTTTATCTGATGTTTATTTTTAACCTTTTTAACAGTTAACTATCGTTAATTATATTCCGTTCGCTTATTCAATTAATTTATTTCATTTTTAACATCAGTAAATAATCATAGTAATTATTTTTTTAAACTTTTCTAATTATTTATCACTAGTGCAAAAAAAATTACATCTTCTTTTAGCTAAAAGACATTACGTAGACTTGCAATTCTTTAGAGCTGCTTGGAGACACCTGTACACAGATCTGGCTTATAAACTTAAGTAGATTTTATTTTAGATGTAATATTTGTAATTTAAGTGTGAATCTGTCCTTTAAAAAATTCATTAAAGTTTTCGAACTAATTGATGACACAATTTTTACTTTCTTCATCAATCCGGATTTCTTAAAATGAAGATTAAACGTAAGACATCAATGTAATGTCTTAATTATTGAGAATGATTGTTAGCAGAATATATTCAAGTGTGTTCAATATCTGTTTAGTTCACAACGATTTCATATAAAAATGACAATAAATCAAATTTAATCAATTACAATAATTACCATGAAAAGCAATGAAAAAATCTCTTTCTATTGTTTATTATGATCTTTAATGTTGACGTAAGATTAAGATTAATTTTCATTCCACTTTCGTTGAAAAGATAATTATTACCAGGAAATATCGTTGGTGTAACTTTTCATTAAAAATTACATTTATTATAATTTTTTTATTTCTATCAAATACATTGACGTCATTTATGCTTTTAAGAAAGGTCGTCTTTTAGTTAATAATTAGTGTATGATTTCTGATATTAATGTTTACGACTTCCGGCGTGACCATAATTAACGATAGACACGTGAAATTATCAGCCACTCGATATTAGATATGATAAAAATCACTTTCATAGATAAACTTAATCGATTTATATTTGAAAGTATGTGAAAACTGAATGCTATTTCGACAGCTAATGCTTTATTCATTAAAAACATTAGATTGAATAATTGTAGTGTATACTATTTTTTATTTTATCGGTCTATTGTGAAATGATGATGCTTTTACCTTGAGAATATTACAATCTCAAGCATAATAATAATAAAAATGAGTATATTAATTCAGTACCTCTCAATGAATCTTTAATGTTAATTTATCCTTTGAGGGAATTCCATAGAGATTATGAGTTCACCTACTTAAATTCTCAGAAATATTTTCCATATTCTTTGAACAAAACACTGTTTACTTAGAACTTGGGATTATTTGAAACTCTTGAGACCTTTATATTTGGTAGAAAAACCAGGGTATTAATGCCATTTAGTCCAAAAGATCTTGTATGTCATAAAAAGATAATAACTTTGAATAGTAAATCCTTAATTAGATCTTCTCAAGTCCCGTTTACTATTCCAGACGCTTTATTAACATTTTTTATGATCAAATCTGTCGGCCAATAAATGTTAAAAGCTCTTTATAAATTTTTTTTTTTTATTTTTCTCATGGCTTAGTGGAGATTTCAATGCTTGGATCTTGCTATTATGTCGAGCTTTGGTTTATGATGTGTACCGATAGGTTGCACCACCAGTGCTGTCTGAACTGCAAGCAATTTTGTCTAGTTCTTCAACATTTCCATAACGTGAAAGGAATCTCTAATTAACTGATCATTGATTATTACCAATAAAAGTATCAATTGATTTAAATAACGTAATAAACAAATTATTTTTTTTTTTGATTGAAAATTTTTGTTTATAAAATTAAATTGAATTTTTAGAAACTGCTTGCTAGATGTAACACAACTGAACTCTTTTAAACATGAGTCAGTAAAAATCATTGTGGAGAAGTGTATATTCACTAATTTGCAGTTAAAACACCATCACTGTTTGAATTAATGCTATTATTATCACTGGGAACAATAAAAATCCAATGATTCATTTTGAGAGAGAAGCAAAGTACTCCAACTTAGGACAATGTTTTTATCGTTGCTCATGAGAATATCTATTGCTACTTAACTATTCATAGATTTGGACAAATTATTTTTATGGACTGATAGTGATAATTTGGTATCAGTTGATGACGCATTTTAAGTATCTGTGTCTTAGGTATCAGGTTTTATAACAAATTGTTGAGTAACAGGCTTTTTCCAATTCTTAACTGTTCAAAAAGATATTCAAAAAAATATTCAGAGTTCCTTGGTATGAACTCAATGCAAATCAAAGCAATTTTTACGATGAGTATTATCTAATTGCCAATGCATAATGAGAGTACTTGAAAGAATAGTAACAAAACAATTAAAAACAATATGTATCTATATATATATTCTCGTTAGTCTAGTTGGTATGATTTTCGCGATGGGTACGAGAGATCCTAGGTTTGATTCCTGGATGACCCCATAAATTTGTTTTCAAATTCTGTAATTAACTGTAATCATTTATTATTTCACTATTACTCCTATCCGAAGGATATTTTAAATATTAATTGTTTAGTTTGTGTATAAATTTTTAAATATAGAACACATGTCAGTCATAATCATAAATCAAATACGTTAAAATAATTGATTTGATTGTTGAAATCAGTCTGGTTCCATTAGTGTCGACTTTATGTATCGAACATTTATAAAACATTAAGTTGACTCATCTTTTTACTTTATCGCCCAAACTTTACCGTTCAACTTAACTTTTCGTCCATTGAGTTTCTCTTTTATCTATCAGACTATTAAATTATATAGACATTCTATTTTTCTCAAAGATATTTTCCAAGATATCGGATAATTTTTTTTCCTCTAACAATCTTAGGTAAAAGACCAGGAAATAAAATAATGTCGAAGAAGGAAAAAATGATTCGAGTTCAGATAAGATTCTAATGGAATTTTTTTTTTTTTTTAATAAAGTGTCTTTTTGACTAGAGAACTTTAAAAGTAGTACACTAATTATTAAAGAGTTCTTCTCTACTAGGTATTATAATTATAAATAATGATTGCGATGAAAGAATTGGAAAAAAATATATAGAAACGTAAAATAAAAGTAATTAATTATTTAAAAAATTTTACAGAACCATAAAAGTAAAATAACAATTTTCAATTAATGAATATTTATAATAATTTTTAGTGTCATGAATTTTTATGAATTAAAAAAATTTATTACTGTTGAAAAAAGTAATGCGTTCATTATGATTTTTTTTTAAAGAATTTGTGTCGATTGTATTTCTCATTAAGGAAAAATGTTAATTCAGTGAATTTTCAATACCTTACACTTTTTGGAAAAAGAAAACAAATCAATGAATTGACTTTAAGATATTTTTAACGAGGCTTGAATTTTTTTTATTAATGGTATCATATCAAGTGATATTATATGTTTTTATAAATGGAATTGTTATTTTTATCTACTTGTCAATGAAAAATTTTTATTAATGAAAGATAAAAAAAGTAATTTTAGTCATGGGAAAAATTTAATAGAGACATACATATAAATAATAGCATTAATTACATGTTGAAATTAATGTGAATTATAAAGATATCATTTAGAGAAAAATACTAAAAAATTATTTTTAATTGGTTTGATTTCAATGCATGTTACAGAATAGTACACTATAAGGTCACTTATAAACATTAATTCTAAAATAGATAAAAAAATTTTCGAAAGTAAATGAATTTTAAAATTGATCTTAACACATCGCTATGGGTTTTTTTTTCTCACTAAAAGTGAATGTCTAATCGAAAATTGCGGCAATTGAGAGATATTAAAAGAAAAATTATGCGTTTCGTCTTCATTATATAGCTCCAAGCTGTTACGAGATTGATGAAATTATCATCAAGGAAATAAAAAAAGAAGGAATAATCGAATTAATTATTTAATTGTTTATTTTCTTTTTTTTTCTCAATACAAAATGCATTTTTTCAACAATATCATTAAATCTGCAATATAATTAATAATTAAATTAAAAAAAAATTAATTAAGAATAAACATCAAGAAAATAATATTAATTGTCATCAAACACTTTTTTGTGTCAAGTTAAAATTCAAAAATCTTGAGCTTGTTGTTATCAACAAAATAATTCAAAAAAGGCTTAAAAAATATTCTATTCAATTTTTTTAATGTTACTATAAAGAAGATAAATGATTGTCAATATTGATTATCCACAAAATTAATTCAAGGTTTGTTTTTGTGACTTTAAATGATAGGTCATGTTGTGAATTCATTCAAGAGTCTGAGCTATTGTCTTAAATAGTGAAATAATTTTTTTGCCATACGAAATAATTAACGAGATAATAGTCGACCATCTCACGACTATCGTAAGACGAATGCAGGTGAGAAAGGTGAAAGCTTGTCGAGCCGAATTTGTCGGAAAGATGATCCACACATATTATAAAATGTTGGAATATAGCTTCAAGGCATCATAAGACTCTCATTTTCCCAAGAGTGTGTCCCAAAAGTGTAATGGGTAAGATGAAGTAGAAGAGACTTGTCTGGCATCAATTGATGTTGTCGATGAAGGTGTCGTAAGTCTAAGTAGGGAATGATAATCAACATAAAGGTTTCACCTGCGTTTCTTTATGATATTTATGGTGCCACCCAATATAAACCTTTAATTGTTAATTGGAGAAGTGAATTCTTTTTCATTTCAATACTCACGCGGCTATTCATAATAACTGTTCAGGAAGTATTTCAGATGTAGACGCTGGGAAAGTCTTCGTAAAGATCTCTAAACATGTAAAAAAAGTACTAACTGCGTGTAGAAT